GGTTTTTTGTTAGTAAAAGTATTTATTTCAAAAAGAATAAAAATATTGATTGTATGTTGAAACAAGATTAATTAAAATAAAGTAGAAGTTGTTAATAATTCGTACATTTCTCGATTATAATGTTAATGAATGGTGATGAAGTTGAGCATGTTGGTTAACAATTTGTATTTCTTAAAGATTAGGTATGGCCTGATTTGTTTATTGATAAAGATGGTTTCGAGCTTGATTTGATTTTCTTTGGTTTTCTCTAAATATTGTATAAAATAAGAAAATTATTTTGTAGGATTAATTATTAATAAAAACATACCGTTAATAATGGTTCTTGTTCCTCATTTCTTTTACGTTTTTTAGACGATGATTGTTCATTCGTTTCAGAACTAAATTTCTTGCTATTATTCCCTTTAAAATCAAAATTAATAGCATATAATGTCATACCTTCACATGGTTAAGGTGGGCAAGATAGAGTTTACCTGTATATTGTGTCATTGTTTTTGTTTCACAATAACAATCTGTTGGATACACTATGTTATTAGAATCTGTAGTCATTATTTGAAAAGAGAGTTTCGAGTGACAAAGACTAAAGTTGCTGATCATAGTTTTTGCATTGGTAGTATTTGTATCAAAATTTTCTATTATATTATAATAAAAATGAAGGACTTGAAAAAATCAGATAATTAATTTGCTTTACCTAAGAATACAGACTGTGATCGATTGTAAATGGCAAATTTATTCATTGTTGCAAGCTTATCTTGTTTGATAATAATCATAACTAAATTCTCGATTCTAAAGCCAGCAAAAAAATTTATAATCATATCTAAGAATAACTTACGTAATATATCCCTTTGATATATCACCATTAGTTATCGGGATATATATCGAACCATCATAGATTTTTGCACTACTATTTTTCATCCATATCGGATATGGATGGCGACAGATGACACTCGTATTGCCAATAGTTACACGCGTGATTCGTAACCAAGGAGTGTACTCTTGTTCCTGGCAATACTTCCAAAAACCAGCCAGGTCAGGTGAGAACTTAATGTTTTAAATAAACATAAAAGTTATGAGAGAAGTTAATGAATGTGGAAAATACACTCACATTGATTCGAATAGGCTTTTTATCAATCGCTTTAGTGTAGCGCAATGATGGTTTGTTATCTGCTTCGTACCGCACATGATAATTCGATTCTGGCTGTATGTGTATATCTATTGAATTGTTTACTTCAATATGAATCCATTGTTGTTGAGAATCATTTAAGAAATTCGGAGGATCTGCTACATCCTAGCATAGAATACAGAATTTAGTAGTAATAAAATATATTTACTAAACTGCTTTACCGTTGATTTAACCATAATGTTTTGATCATTGTTTGAATCTACCGTTAACGTTTGCGCTGTTTTGTTACGATCAAACTCTAATAGAGAAGAGAGTAACTTCTCAAATTCGGAATCTACAAAATAACATATCGGTTTCTGTCAATAATTGTAAAGAACAAACCCCAATCTGGATTTATTGGAGCGTCTTGCGGAGAAGTAGCTGTAGTACTATCTGTTTGCTGATCATGTAAATCATCAATTGACGGTGAAATGTAAAAAGGCAAAACGCGATCGTTATCGTCTACAAAAAAATAATGAAAATCATAAGCTTTTTATCTAAAGTGAACTTCGCTGTGCTATGGATCGGTATTGATCCAGTGTCAATAGTGTTCTACTGACTTTGATCATTGATATCGGCGAATAAATCAAAGTTATCGAAGCATAAATCGAAGTTTTCGATATCGTCAAGGTTTGGGGATGTCATCGCCTGCTCTGAACTAAAATAAAAGGCAACTATTGAATATTTTTCTTGCCTAATAAAAATCTCAAAATAGTGATACTATGAGAGTGCTCGTTTCTTATTGCAATACTGCAAATACTGATGCTACTTTGCGTTCAGTAAGCTATATCTTTCACGAAAACATATTTATGAACTTTCTCATTAGTATTCATCACAAAGATATTTAAATAAGTTTACAGTTACCTGTTATCAATCATTGATGCCAACCAAACGAATTTATATGCTTGTTGTCAATATTTGCAATAAAAAAATCAGAAGAAGGTGTTGTATTATCATGATTTGACATATTACCGGTTTATATATGCAGAGTATTATGCAATTTTACCCACTACCATCCGTGGGTTTTTTCCCAGCTACGTGTTTGAATGATTCATATCATTGTGTATTCTATTGTTGATAAAACCAATGATTCACTCTTCAATGTAATCATTCTTGAAGCGTTTACGTCATGATAGATATAAGCTACAGATGCTAATAAACGATGTTGCTTTGAGAATGCGTATGAAAACTTATATTATTAAACACAATACGATAGACAAAATATTGACAGTGAAGAATAAATTAAAAGAAAAGTATTTTATTTTCTCTTTTTTTTTGGAGTTTCAATAAAAACAAAGAATGACATTGAAACTATCACGTGCATCACTCTCACACCATTTTGTTTCTACAACATTAATTTTTTATTATTTATTCTTTTAATTTAATATTTTTATTTCAGTTAAAAATACATTACTGCATATTTTTGGATGTGAATGTTGAAGAATCTCACTAATGCTCACCTATACACTAATTTCTGTACTACAACAAGCGATTTTTGTTACTACAATTTAAGCTAAATAAAAAATCAAGAAACATTCATGTTTATGTGATTTTTTAAAGGAGTTCGAATGAATTGAGAATAATACAGCCAACATGTAATGTAAGTTTCATGTGAACTACAAATTTCAATAACTTTTTTAACAAATGCCAATGGGTTTGAATGAAATCGAGCTTAATTAATTTGTAATTGACAACGATATTCTGGATCCTTCACAGAACCATCGATGTTGATCAAATATTTTTCAAAAGCTTCTTCTTCTAGTGTGGATATTGTATTACTTCTATACCCACACCCACACCCAGCTATAATCTTTACCAAAGTTTTTGATTGTTATACTTTTTTCAATAAATATTGTATACTTAACTTAATCTCTTAAATAAATTATAATTAATAGAAGAAGAATTCTCCAAATAATGAGTTTTATTTTTTTTCTGGTTGAATCTTGATAATATTAACAATATCTTTGTTTTATTTTCCTATATTCTCTTTCTCATAGAGAAGAGTCCAGTGAACATAAATTGTTTGTTTGTCTGTCCGCAGGGTCAAAAAAACATTCAAATTTGATTTTTCAGATACTTCCGGAAAACTTTGACTGGGGGGGTAATCGAGGGTGTGGAACTTGAATCTGAGGTTAGTTTATTAAAATTAACTCGTTAATAATTAGTTAATAATCAGTTAATAATTAGTATTATTATATGTTCGAGTCAAGTTTCACCAAAGGGTAATCGAGTGTGGAGAATCCGAATCTGAAGTTATTTTTAGCTAACAATCAATTAATAATTAGTTAATAATTCATATTATTAATTTTTGAAAAAAGTTTGACCGAAGGGTAATCGAGTGCCAAGAATTCGAATGTGAGGTTAATTTTAGTTGAAAATCAATTAATAATTAATTAATATCATTAATCTTAAAGATAGTTCTAAGAAAGTTTTACTAGAGGGTAATTCGAGAATCGATCTTTTAGAAAAGACATTTTTGGGGCATTTCGATGCGGAGACTTCGAATCTGATGTTAGTCTTATAAGATAATTTTATGGATCACTTTTTTAGGGAGAGAACCAATTTTTATAAAAAAAAATTTTCATAAGGGGTGACCGAAGGGTAAGTAGGGTAGAGGAACACAAATCTGGTGTTAATTTTTCCAAACTGTATAAGCAAAAAGTTTAGTATTGTAGAATACGATTTCTACGAGAAAGAGCTGAGCGAGTCCGCAGACGAGCGTTACTTGTGATTTATTACTGATTCACTTCATATATTCTATTAGAATAAATAAATATATTATTTACATTTTCAATAACAATTCAGTTTTTGAAATTAACAATCAAACACTATTCTCTTATCTAAGAAATTTTTTATTTTATTTTATTTTCAATTTATTTGTCTTTTAGTTCGATTAATTTCTTCTTTTCACATCAGTTTGTTTTGATAATTGTCGTCACGTGTCATCAATACGAAAAAAACTATAAAAGATGATGCATGTTTCTTTTCCTTTTCATTAAAACAAGTAACACACCACATCTAACATATTCTTACACATGGTATGTAAACAATCTATGACCTTTATTTAAAGAAAGGAAAAATAAATTCTAAAGTTTAAATTTATTTTCTTTTTTCCGTAGGGTTTTCATCACCAATACATTAATTTTTTAAAAACACAAATACCTATGATATGTCGTCTATTAGTTTGTGTAACGCAATTTATACTCTTAATGTTTATAGCTGAAATTAAAGATATTTTAACATTACCTCATATATCAGCTGTTATGTATATACCAGCAACGATCAATCTTATCATCCAACGTGTTGATAGATCTTCCCCAGGACGATGATTTTTGAAGCAGGATTCCATACAGTTCCGGTCCAAACTGTATAAATCCGGTCACCGGATCCGTTCACCGAGAATATTGCTTCCATGAAATCTCCGGAACACCACGGAATCGGCCGTTTCCGTGCTGGATTGGTCGATCTGGCTTTTTATTGGTTTAACAAATTCCCTATTGATGGATCATAGAAGTGATTCTTCCACTGATCATCGATAATTTTTGGTTGTGCGTTCAAAAGAATAGTCCACGTTTATTTAAAATACTAATAACAATTCAAGATCGATACGCGTATTTACTTAAATATTTAATATTGGCTCCTGGAATACTTTTAACAGCCACCACAATATTACTTTTATCACTGCGCATTATGGCTTATGTCTTTTTTTCAATGATTAGAAGAAGAAGAAGAGACAATATCAATTAATACTCAATTTTTTATTTTTTTTTCATTCCTTGTCTATTAAATAATGTTCAAAAATTGTCAAAAAACTTATTAAAAAAAATAAAGAAGCAATAATTAATTTATTAAATATTAAATCTTCATCAACATAATCATTAACATATTTTGTAGATTTCATGATATGAGAATTAAAAAGTATCTCTGTATTTTTAAAGAATAACAGATCATCAAATAAAAGATTTAATGTTGAAATCTTAAAATTTTGAAATGAAAAAAAAATTTATTGAATAAAAAAAACGAAATTAATTTATTTTACTAAGATATTTGATGTTATTATTTATGAATGAATCATCTTTTTCCGTTTTTGTTTTGACAATGAAGATCGAATTAACTTAATTTGTATTCCATTTGAAAAACATCCTTTTAATCGACAGGCAGAACGTATATGACGAGCATTTAGATTAATTTCATAATTTTATAAATAGAAAAAAAAATAGAAACTTATTTTATTTCAACTAATTAATCCTTTTTTCTACATTTCATCGAAAGAATATTTTCCAAGCTGAACAACAAATAATACCATAATTTTGAAATATTCAGTTGTTTCTTTACAGATTTTATATTGATGACAAGCAATTTTAGATTTTGGTATAACATCATTTGATTTAGAAAATGATCGATCATTGTTTTCAGAATTCATTTTATTTTTATATAATCAAATAGATTTTATATATAGCCTTATAGAAGATTAAATAAAATTTCAATAACTTTCTAAAAAATGCTAATGGATTCGAATGAAATCGAGCTTGGTTAATTTGTAATTGATAACGATAGGGTGGGTGTGGATATTATATTACTTCTATACCCACACCTACACTCGTTCAAAAAACTCATAATGAAGAAAAACTATTTTTTTGATTATCTAATGCATTTCTTCCTTGTGTAAAATAGATAGAGAAAAAGATAATAAGTATTAAAACTCTTACATATAATCTATTCAATAGATAAACTTTTGACAACATCACATTTCATATGTCTTTCTTCAACTCATACTTTTCTCAAAAATGAATTCAACTAATTTCACATCTATATCGAACTCATCTATTATTAATATTGAATCATGGTTTATTCCTTTCGATATTCTTAATATTATATGTCTTATTATAGCCATTATATTGACTATAATGTTTCTAATTATTATCATATTTGATAAAACTTGTCATACAGTTCCTATGATGCTTGTTGCAAATTCATGTTTCGCTATTCTTATGTGTGCAAGTGATATACTTTGGATATCTATATTTACATTACAACGTGATCTTCAATTAAATCAATATCAAGATATATTTTGCATATTTCGAGGTTATTTAACGTATGTTTTATGTGCTGCATTAAATTATTCATTTTTATTACAAGCTTTTTACCGTTATTTAATTGTTGTTTATCCTGCACGTTTATTTTGGCAACTACCACGAAATCAATTCATATTTATTATTATAAAATGGATATATGTATTTATATTTCCTTTACCATTTACATTGACTGGTGATATTATCTATAATGTTAATAATCAGATTTGTCAAATACCTTTCCGATTGTCTTTTACAATGATTTTTGTAGCAATATGTGTCTATGGTATTCCTGTTCCATTAATTATATTGATTTATTTGAAATTAATTCAATATGTAAGAAAAATGAATAAACGTGTAATACCAGTGAATATTTTATTTCGTGCTCAACGTGAATTGCAAATGGTTCGACGTACAATGATATTAACAATGATTATTGTTATACTTGGTTTACCTTATGCATCATTTATTGTTGTATCATTTTTTACTTCACCACCACTATATCATTTTCGAATTGCTTATATTTTTGTTACTATATCATTAGTTTTTGTAATGATTGTTTTATTAGAATTTACAGAACCACTTAAAGCATCAATAACTAAAAAACTACATAGACAATCAAATATTATAGTACCAAATGGAACACAAATGAATAGAACTATGAATTTTCAATTAAATATTTTATATTGAAATATAAAAGAAAAGAAAATTTCTTGACATACTCTAATAAGTATATGCTAATTATGTTATATGAATGTGAGATTATAAGTTATTAAACATACAGAAATAGCTTATCTTAAATGTAATGAATTTTATAAAGCATAAATCTACAGATTTGTCACATCTATTTGCTAGATTAGTTTTGCATTCAATCTAAGAAATGAATTTAGGTGAAAGCTACATATGAATATAAAAAGTCAAACTTGTAAATTCTGGGGAAATCATTAGCATAATTGAAATCCACACCTTCTACAATTTTTAGTAAAATTCTATTTCACATTTAAAATCATCATCTATTTTCGACGAAAACGTTTTTTTTACTGACGCGCACATTTCGCCGAAAGAAATTCACCGAATCGATTAATCGGCGAAGGCTCATACAAGCTGCATAAATTAATCGATCTTATAGTCAACAAATTGTATTTCGGATAATTAGTCCATGATATAAAATTAATTGATCTTCAGATGGTTATTAATTCGGCGAAAATGAAATTTACCATATGTTACAATCCATAGATTATATTCGAATACTATAAATGATTTCTATCAGTATTAAATTTTGTTTTTCTTAAGCAGAAACTATGGAGTGAATCTGTATGACTACATATCTCGCTTAATCTACACTGTAATTACCATTAAAGATCGTGGAATAAGACCCATTCGCCGAAAAATATTCAATTTAAAAAAAGAACATTCTGTTTTTTTCTTTAAAAAAGAAAAATACTCCACTTAATATTAAATGTAGGTAGTGTCGTTGGAAAGAAATGAAAAAGAAAGTATTCAAGGTAAGTAAATAAAATTGTTTTTACTGTCTACTTCAGTTGGAAATTTTATATAAACCAATACACATGAATGCAACTTTATGCATCAGAAAGAAAGAGGCAGAATCGCAAAATGCAGCATGTTAGTTAAAGTTATTGAGAAAAAAGGAAGTTTTTAGTCCTTAATTCAATTTTTTTCTCAAAGTTCTTAGAATTGTCACTTAATGATCTATTTATATGTAGGAGTGGCTATAAAGTTTTACAACAAGTCGAATCATGAATCGTCCAACTACTGCTGTGTCATCGGCTCGCAGATCAAATGTAAGCGACGATGAGGATGCTGATGAACTTTTTTATAAAACTTCATTACTTCTTGGTAAAAGTGCAAAACCACCAGAAAAATCTGAACGAGCTAGAACAGCAGTATCTCGATCGAAATCTGCTTTTGTTCCAAACATCATCAGATGTATTATAATTCCTTCTACACTGACAATTACAAATATACATATTGGAGATAAATTAACAACATTTCAAATGATTCCAAAATGGTTTGAGCCTGATGATCGTGAAGAAGCAATTAAAGATATTGTGTATCCAAACAATGTTTCTGACAAAGAACCATACGAAACAGTGGCACGCTTTCGAGCAGCAACTGATAAATCAACAAATTTCTATCAACAACCATTAGATGTAGGCGAACAATCCACGGAAACTCTTATACTTTCACTCAATGCATTTGCTAAACAATTTGGTGGTGAATTAAGTTTTACAGACAAAAATTTATCGTTTGAAGATAGTACTGAACAAATGGCTTGTGGTATAGCTAATATGGGCAGTGTTCATCTACTTGCTACTGATTCTTTGCCCACAGCTATATTTAATTTTAACGTTAGCTTTGACTACAATAGAGATCTCGCTCGATCACCGGACACAATGGCAAATTTCATTTTTAATTTTTCGACAGCTATCTCTAATGTATTAGGATGCCAAAATGATTATGTTCGTGTCTTTTCAGTAAGAAAGTCCAAGAAAGATGCTGGTACTTCTGTTGTGAAATGTGGTTTAACTATACCAGATCCAAATGAAACAAAAAGATTAGCTCATGATTTACAGGTATACTATGATAGTTACATTCTTAATCATATATTCTATTACTTCTAGGGTATGCTTCAATATGGATTGAGAGGCGATAAAGTTCTTCGTTATATTAAACCGGCCCGTTATGACTATAAATGGCAATCAGTTTTATCTTATTTACAATTGAAACCGAGTGATTTTGATCCACGCTATAATCTTGATTACGCTAAAGCAGGTATGCCAAGACAGCAAATGCGTGGTAATGAACCCTATTTTTTGCCACTTGGTTGGTATCGTCATGGACTTAATGTTGCTGATAAATACGGAAGTGATAATGTATGGCTCGGTGCAACTAATGCTGATGGTGAATGGCCTGTTGCTTTTCATGGTACTAATTCAGGTGCAGTTAGTAGTATAACTCAAAATGGTTTATCAGTTGGTGCTGCTAAAAGAGATCTTATGCAGGAAGAAGCTGTCCAACAATTAGGAGCGGCAGCAGAAGGAACAGGACTCTATCTAGCAACGTATTGTAACAATGGTTCTTATCCTCAATATACAGCACCGTTTACCGTAACAACAGGTGACATAACGGAAACCTTTTGTGTTGTTTTTCAATGTCGAGTACGACCAAATTCATATTCTGTACACACTCGCTGTGTTGTCGAGGGCAATGCCTGGCGTGTTATTGATCCAACCGCAATTCGACCATATGGATTATTACTTAAAAAACACGAGGAAAATAAATAAGATAATACAGACTCAATAATTTTAGTGTTAAGCATTTTTTCATAATAAACATGATTATAAGATTTTCTTTGTATCAATAAGAAGGTTTCATGGTATGGCTCGGGTCATAAAAAAGAGAGCCTCTGTTAATATTCCGAATGATCTCAATAAGACTATGTTGTATCATTACTCTTAAAAGGAAAAAAACTACTAAAATCTTATTCCTGGATAGAAAACAGTACATTCACTTTAGGATTATACATTTATTATGATATGATTAATCATATTATTTATCATTATTACAGATTATCAAAATATTGAAAACTCCATTGTCTACCAAAGTAGATTGTTGTTACCAATGGATTTGAACCAGATGTTTTATTTATTTTCAGTTTCATAATAATCTTTTTTCGTAACCAAAAGTCACCGTTATAAAATGTCTTAACTGCTTCTTGACTGACACCATCATCTAAATTGATAGTCATTTGTTTTAAATCAGGTAAACGATTTTCAATTAACCATTGCCATACACTAGCATCGATAGCTGCATAGGAATGGTCAAGACGTCTGTCTGTATGAAGCCGGCGTAAACAAGGAAATATTGAAAGTATATTTTGTAGATGAGCCATTTCAATAGGCTCATAGATATGTAGTTCACGAATATTTGGAATAACAATATCTGTTAAGGTAACTGATGCATAATAACTTTGAAGACATCGTAATGATCGAAGATTAGGTGTATTATTACGAAGAAAGCCAAGAAAATTTGATGTAAAATCAAAATTATTTATCAAGAGGCGTCGAAGTTGCGGAAAAATAACTGAAACACCAGGAAAATCTATTCCGTGAGTAGCACACCATAATGATAGATTAACAAGTGAGGTAAATCGATGTCCATGCTCGACTAGTAATAAATGAATCATAGAATTACCATGCGACCGAGAATAATTCCATGGTGCGGTTACACTGAAACATTTGATTTGATTATGTTTAGGAAAATGTTGAATTAATTTATATATATTGTCTTTATTCATATTTTTTAAACAAACTGAATGAAGATTTTCTTTTGGAGCAGTTAGAATTCGTTCATGAATATTAATATCATTATGCAATGATAATATACGAATTTGTGATGGATTGAAAAATGATGCAAGTGTATTCCAGATAGTTGCATCACTTTTAGATGGATCGTAAAGAATATGTAAATGAACTAATTGAAGAACAGTATTGATACGAGTGTTTAAGTCATAAAAAGATTGACATAAATCATATGCATCAAGATATTCAAAAATTTCCAGTAATACTTCGTTGCTGAGTGATTCCAAACAATTAAAAGTGGTAGAACTCATTGTGATCAGCACAGTTTTATATCATAAAAATTGTTTTTCTCGCTGTTATTTATACGAAGCAATTGTGAAAATTTACATCATACAAATGTAAATTTCATAACAGAACAGAAAGAAATACGTCGTGTTGCATTCGATGATTCACAATGACACCATCCAATAAATGTACGTTACTAAGTTTAACTTGATTGGTGTACATTAATATTAAAGAAAGATGTCTTTCTATTACATCTCTAAAAACAAATAAGAATAAAAACAATGTGATGAAACAAAAAAAAACTATAATTTATAGAAATATATTATCATTTTAGTTCTTGTTTTACTGTCCTTTTGGTATTATTGTTACGATGTTTTGTAATTTTTCCATTTCTCGATCGAAAATTATCGAACACATCTTCAATATCTTCTAGTAAAATTCCTTTTGTTTCCGGACATAAAAAATAAACGAATACAACGCCTAAGCAACATAGAACACTAAAAAGATAAAAGACACCGTGTATTCCTAATGGTGCAATCAATTCTAATATATAGGACATGATAGTTCCCATGCACCAGTTGCTTGCAGTGGTTATTGAAATAGCTTTAGCTCTAACATTAAGAGGAAAAATTTCTGCTACATAAACCCAAACAACTGCTCCCCAAGATAGAGCATAAAATGCCACGAAAACACCTGTGAAGACAAGCATAAGTATACCAGAATGTGTCTTACAAATAACAGTTTCTTCTCTCATGATTGTGTGTACCCTGCAACCTTTAGCGAATACAGTGGCTGCCATCAAATGACCTATAACCATACCTAAACCGAAAAAGATCAACAGTTTTCGGCGACCTAGTTTATCAATTAGAAACAAGGCTGGAATAGTACTCAACAAATTGACACCAGACAGAATCAATAATGATATGATACCTTTACCAAGAACACTTTCGTAGATGATACCACCATATGTAAATATGGGATTAATACCTGTTCCTTGATTTAAAAGATGTAAGCCTATACCAATTCCAAGTCTTTGCAGCATTTTTTTGGTTGTTAATAATTCTTTAGTTGAAATTTGATTACCATCTTCGTTGATAGCATCGGCAATAGCGTCTAATTCCGCTGTTATATCTGTTGTTTTACGGATACGTTGTAAACTTTTCTTCGCTGATTCTCGACCATTTGTCTTAAATAACCATCGAGGAGTTTCAGGACAAAAGAAGATACCAATTATAATGGTGATTGGAGCAATTAAAATAATTCCATTGGATAATCGCCAACCCCATTGATGATTTTGTAATAGGAAATTAGCTACATTAGCAAGAAACAAACCAGTGACAATAGTCATTTGCATAAAACCAGAAAGCATGCCACGTAAATGTGTCGGAGCTATTTCTGAAGCATACAATGGACATGCAAATGATGAACAACCAACACCTGCCCCTTCAATAATGCGTCCAATAAGAATCAGAATCATTAAATTTTTCGAACCTCCTGGTGGAAAAATAACCATTGAAGTACCGATAAAAAACAGAATTGAGGCGGTGAAAAGAATAGCTCGACGTCCGAATTTTTCGGCTACAAATGAAGAAATAAATGCAGCACCACAAAAACATCCAACATTATAGAGCAATGTATAAAGTAGCAAAAATCGTCGATAGTCAGACGGCAAAGCACCTACAGGAAGATCACAAACACTAGTGTTTCCATATATACCAACACAGAAATCATTTTTAAATGAACTCATTACTACAACACCGCCTGTGACACCTTGATCATAGCCAAAAAACCATCCACCCAATGATGAAAAGGCGGCTAATAATACGGCGAAATACGGTTTTCCATATTGTACATTTCTATGTTTATGATAGTCAATCTCTTCTTCGGTTTCTACCAATCTTTTGCTTGTATCTTGGTCAGCTTCGTTTCCTTGTTCGATCGACATTTTCTCTATGTCTGATGATTTACTGGAATGAAATAGTATATATTTCTCGATAACTGGCAGCGTAATGCTTCTATTCAAAACTATATATTACATTATATTTCACTACGAAACCTTCCAACATGATAATAATACTGTAGTTTTATCTCTCTTTTTCTACGCGTATATACAGACATAAAAGGTCTTATCTCTTTATGAAAGATCTTGTGAAGAAGGTCAAACAAATGTAAACTGTCAACAAAAATTTAACGCGTTTGTATACATAATAGAATTTAAATGTACGAAATTTGATATTGTTTGACAATCAATTAGATTGAGTTGTGTTGAATGTTAATTTAAGTAATTAATTCATTATAATATGAAGTATTCATTAGGATTTTGTTTGAAGAACATGCTGTGTTGATCAACAAGTTATTTTTTTCACAAAAGATAATCTATGAAATTCTCCAGGAGATCTAATACTTGTTCAGTCCAATAAAGATGATTTTTGTTTACCCTTTTTAGAACATAAATAAAACAAAAACACATGAATTCAATATTCAACGTAGAACTAACGTTCAGATATATTTTATACTTTCGAGTAATGGATATGAATACAAAAAGAAATTTTGGAAAAGCTTTGATCGAATGATCCTTTGTGGATCTCGAGGAATAATCAAAGATGGGTGTCAGTACGGGTTTAAGTATAGTATGCTATACTTCGTGATTTTGATAGAAATCTTCATTTTAATTCGTGAAAATGAAATATATGAAAAATAATATTGATTTCACCATTACAAATGCCTTTTTTTGTATCAGAGATTGAGAATGAGTATAATAGACTTTTTGATGTTATAATAGTATTCATTTATACAACTGAAAGTAATAAAATTCAACTGTTTTCTTCAAAATCCAAAAGGAAAGCATTTGAAATGTTTCTAAATTCATTGATCTTTATTTAATTTATAATTAATTTGTATGTAATAAAGAATTATACAGAAGATAATAACATGGCTTTATATTTACTAAAAAATGGTTATATCTAACTGTATACACATAGACAGTGCGTTATTTTTATTATAAAGAATAATAAATGTAAATCGACGGGCCCGTCTATAATATACATTAACACGTTTTCTTTTCATTCGCTACTCATTTTTTTTTGCTTTTGAAGCAACTATTGATGAATAAATGCGGTTATAGACGAGCGAGCATTAAGCTTACTCGGTATCAAGAAAATAGTATTTTTTATTTTTTATAGGTGGTAAGAAAAAACAAAACTGGCTAGGTATAATAATAACATACATCCGGCAGTCTTAATATCATTTTTCACTCTATCCTTTTCGCTTCAAAATAATACGAAACATCATTTGAATAATTGTAACCGTTATTAAATAAGCATGTGCTATTTAAAGGCATTGCAAAAAATATAATTCTGAGATTAGGCAGATCTTCCATCATTTGAGCGTGTGGATGAGAGTGAAGGAAAGATACATCGATACCCATGCCTATCCACCTATACTCACATCTAGCCATTCTGGAGTTTTTTTGTAACATATCAGGATAGACGGCATATTGGAATTAGTCACTCTTTACTTTATTTTAGGTTGGATTAAAGTTTTAACGTACTACGATTTATTAGTCGCGAAATGCCAAAACAATATATAGAAGTAAAACCAATAACTGATTTTGAGGATGTGCTGGGATACGAATTCAAAAATAAAGAGTTACTTTGGCAATCATTGACTTATAAGTCAGCAATATCTGAAGGACACCCAATGGCTTATCATAATGATCTATCCACACTAGCATTCCTTGGGGATGCTGCGCTCAAATATGCAGTCTCACGATATTTATTTCTCAATGGACAAGATCAATTGGTCAAAAAGGTTTCTGAATTGCATAACAACACTCAGAAGATACTTCCTGACCTTATTTTAGCCAACATCGCACGCGACAAACTTCATATTGAAGAGTATCTTATACGTGGGAACGCACAAAGAACTCCCAGTACAAAAATGTATGCAAGTTGTATGGAAGCCATACTTGGTGCGATTGCTCTTGACTGCGGAACCGATCAACAAGTATTACTTTTTCGAGTCATCGAAAAATTATGCTCTGATCGATACGATACATTACTGATACCGGACACAACTTTCAGATTTGTATCGGCTTTTGATTTTCGTGGTAACGATGATGAAGATGATGCTTCATAGTTCTTCAACATCAATCCTTCTCTTAGATATCATTCTCAATGACAATTAGAGACACAAAACGAATGGGTATTTCAAAAGAAAGAACTTCCTATTCTTTACTTGAATAAAGCTATCTTGGGGGTGTGGGCGTTTAATTACTTTTTACGCTTGCTAACACCCACACGCACTCTCAACTATCATTGTTGATTATTGATCGAAATAAGTTTGCTGTTAACGTAGATATATATATACATTTTTAAACTTAAATGACTCATCTGATAAAGAACAATTTGTTCTACGTCATTCATCATATTTACATGCTACACATTGATTATTTTGTTGTTTTCTGACTAATAATAGCATCGAAGAAATTGAATGACTCATTTATGTAGCACACTTTGAGTGCGTGTTGAGTACTAAAATGACTCGCACCGATTCAAAACTTTATATGACAGAACCGCATTCACGATGACTCATAGCACTTTTTTTCCTTTTCTTTTGATGTGACAATATGCGACAGATGCCATATTAGATAATATATTGCTTGTGATGTGGTCGTTAGAAAAGAAAGAGAACAGTAAGGCAGAAAAGTTCGCGGTGATGAGTGATCGTATAAAAGAAGAGAACGATGGTGACAGCACATACGTTATTATTCAGAAAGTAGATTCTATTTATGGTTGATAAAAAAGGACAGATGGAAATTATGGAAGCACACAAAAAAGATTTAACGAATATTGATTTTAATAACGATTGGAAATGTTATTGTCAACTTGCGAGTGAAGAAATCGATCAAGAAAGTATGGTTGCAGTTGTACATAATATAGTTACAGATCCCTGTTGGTCCTCAATAAATTTACCACATATTAAGAAATTTGAAGAAATAAATTTACACAAATGGTGGTATTATAAAAAATTCGATTGGACATCTATCGACAATCAAATACAACAACAAATTCAACTTGTTTTTGGACGGAATATTAATCTAAATGACAGCTCTGTTTCAACGAATATTACTGCCGTCATATGGCTCAATAATACAAAAATATTTTCTGGTTTATTTATATCATTAACCAATCCTATTGAATTACCTTCAAAATTATTACATAATGAGAATATTCTGGTGATTTGCTGTTCAAATTCTATTCTTTCTCTTCATGCTCGTCTTATTTTACATGGTAAAATAATTTGTGCAACAGGACAAGTAAATGTAAATGAAGAATTTGTAAAGAAAAATAAAACTCAAGAACAAAATGAAAATGAAATTTTGGACTATACAATTAGTCTTGATGATACTAATGGACGTATTGATGTTTTATTTAAATCCAAAAGAAAATCTAAAGTACCTTTAAAACCAATTCCATCATCACCAAAATTTGTTTCATATGATCAAAATGGAAAAAATATAGAAGAACTAAAAGATGACCTTCTTGTACCTCGTTTAGCTATTGTAATACTCCTCGTTGGTACAAGAGGAGATGTGCAACCCTTTATTGCGTAAGTTAAGAAATATCTTTTTTAAAATTGAAAATATTCTATTTGATATTTTGCTAGTCTCGGTCAAGCACTTCGAGCATATGGTTATCGTGTTCGATTAGCAACACATGAAACATTTCGATCATTTGTTCGTGGTAATGGTCTCGAATTTTATCCATTAGCTGGCGATCCAGCTGATTTAATTTCATTTATGGTTAAAAATGCTGGTATTATTCCGTCAATGAGTAGTATTATCGCAGGAGATGTTGGCAAAAAACGTCGATCTCTAGCTGATATTCTTGCTTCTACATGGCAAGCATGCATAGCAAATGATGATGAAACAGATATGCCATTTACAGCTGAAGCTATTATTGCTAATCCACCATCATTTGGTCATATTCATTGTGCAGAAAAATTACAAATTCCTTTACATATCATGTTTACTATGCCTTGGACAACAACAGCAGCATTTCCACATCCATGTTCGAACATTGATAATTCAACAGGATCAAGAAAAGTAATTAATCGATATTCGTACGATCTTATTGATACGCTGGTAAATTAAAATAAAGTTCGAAATAAAACTAACTTTTCTCCAAAAATTATTCTTTTTCTAGACATGGACTGGTTTGCGGGATATAATTAATAATTTTCGTAAGAAAACATTAGGTCTTTCAACTTTAAATACTAGTCAAGCAATAAATATGTTAAATGATGAACGTGTACCACATACTTATTGTTGGTCACCATCACTTGTTTCTAAACCTGATGATTGGGGAGCACACATCAATGTTTCTGGCTTTTTCTTTTTGGATCTTGGTACTGCTTATACGAATCCACCTCAGGATTTACTCGATTTTCTTCAGCTCAATGATAACAAATCAAAATTATCACCGCCAATTTATATCGGTTTTGGTTCTATTGCAGGACATGATTCTCGTCGTATTCTTAAAGTTATTATTGATGCTGTTAATTTGACTGGATACCGAGTATTATTATCCGGTCTTGCTACTGATACAGATCATCTACCTTCGAATATATTTAAAATTGGAAATGTACCACATGATTGGCTTTTTCAACATGGTGAGTAACGATTTTCTTCATGAGTTAATAGATTAAAAATATGCACATTCATCTCGGTTTCTTTTTTAGTATCAGCTGTATGTCATCATGGCGGCGCAGGTACAACTGCTGCCGGTCTACGTGCTGGTAAACCAACAATTATTGTACCATTTTTTGGCGATCAATTTTTTTGGGGTACTGTCATTGCTAAGTGTGGCGCTGGTCCTCAACCAGTTCCAGGAAAGTCAATTACTACAGATCAACTAATTCAAGCATTTCATTTTGTTCATAAACCAACGACATGCGTAGCTGCTGAAAGTCTTCGTGATTCTATTCTGAAAGAAGACGGATGTGCGGCAGCAGTACGTGCATTTCATTCTAATCTACCCTTGACACGTATGCACAGTGATTTGGAACCAACATTTGCTGCCTGTTATCGTTCAGATAAATATAACATACAGATATCACGACCAGTAGCACAAGTATTAGTATCATCAAATATTCTAGAAGAAAGTCAACTTCGTCCACATGTTACACGAGAATGGCATGTCAAACATGATAATCATACGCATATAATCATGCATGGTTTATGGGAACATTCTCATAAAGCTATTTCTACAATGTTTGTTGATACTACAACAGAATTGAAGCGAACAAGTAGCATTCAAAACATAAACAAGAGAACAACACTTGGAGGTGCAGGAACTGTTGCTAAAGGTGTTGGCTTAGGTATAGGTCATTTAACAGTTGGATCCTTAGCATTATATGGTGAATTAACCGATATACTTGATCATCTACCTTATTTATATGATCCTTATAGGTAAGATACTTTATATTTCTAATTATTTCTATATTATTTCATAGTAGTAATTCAAAATCACGCTCACGACCGATTATAATTGATTTTAAATCAGGTGCGAAGGCAGCTGGTTTAACCTTATGGACTGGTTGGAAAGAGGGTATTACGGGCATGATAACACATCCATGCGCTGGTTATAAACGACATGGTATACTTGGTGGTGCAGCAGGATCAGTAATAGCTTCAGTGAATATTTGGATGAAACCTGGTCTTAGTACTCTTTCATCTATTACTTGGTTAAGTCGAGGTGTTTATGCTAATGCAACAAATGTTTTAGATAATTATAAAAAGGAAGGTAGACGTCTATCACCTAACCTTTACAATGCCACTTCATCGTTATCAACTGCAAATAATGAAGAAATACAGAATGCAAATGATAAAGAAGTTTCTTTAATTGCCAAAACTGCCGCAAACATTTCAGGCTTTGATCCAAAAATATGTCAGAATATTATTGATGAATTTGAAAAAATCAAAGCAGAACACGAACAACATCTGAATTCTTTACGGAGAAAAAAGAAAAATCCAATATCGTTTCCTCGTACCATTAAAAATAAACGATCTTCGTCAGTGGATAATCGTATCGATTTGTCACGAAAAGTCAAATATTAAGATTAACTATTTTTCTTTGTTTATCTAAGTCAAAACTGTTGTGTATAGTTTCAATTAAAATAAAGTTAATTAAATATTCATTTTTCTTTTAATTTACTGAATTGAAATCTGCAAACAAGCTCAAAATTCAGACAACGAGTCAATGGGATAAGGATGTGAGTTACTATATAATTAAGATACATCCATCTCGAATAGAAATATTGTAAATAAAACGTTACGAGGAAATAATTCGGGTATTTACGACAGAGTCCAAAAGAAAGATATATTTAATCTATGCAGTTGGAATGATCTTGTGTGTATTTGTATACTTCGAACAAACCGCGATCAATAGTGACTTGTGGTTCCCAGTTGAAAGTCTTACGAGCTTTGGTAGCATCGCCTACGCAGTTCTTGTGAACTTCTTTTGTAATGCGATTAGGATCAAGCGAATAAGGCGCATCGGTTAAAGTTTTGTATTTATCCCAGAACAACGTTGGATCTTTATAATTTGTTGATATGTTTTTATCGGCGATTGTACATAATTTAGAATATAATTCTGGTACCGACCAACCTATACCTGTTGAGATATTAAATATTTCTGCGTGAAATGTATCTGTACTCGCCCACATTTTTAACATGAGTGAGATTAAATCAGAACTATAGATATAGTCACGTTTGGCGTCTGTTTGATTAAATAACGTGGGTTGTCTGTCCAATGCAAGTTCACGAACCACATATGATGTAAATGGCGGTGATTTTCGACGAAAGTCTTGATGGGGTCCATAGACATTGAAAAAACGGCAGATGATAATATCCATATTATAGTTTTTTGAATATGCTTTGCATATGTCCTCGGATGCAGCCTTAGTCATCGAGTAAATCAAATCCGGCTGTATAGAGTCTGTTTCTTTGTAGTTATCTACTTCGTGAATACTGTTTTCATAAACGGCAGAAGTTGAAGAGAAAATTACTCTTGAGACACCCGACAAACGTGCAGCTTCGAGGACGTTAGCAGTGCCGGAAACATTAACATCGTATGCATATTGTGGTTCGCTTTGGCAAACAGGTAAAGCAGCTACACCAGCAAAGTGAAATACTGTATGTGCTCCGGTAAACACAGTTTTTAGATCTGGATCTCGGATGTCTTTTACTACTAACTGTCCAAACGTTTTGCCATCAACAATCAGATTATCAAGATGACCGAATGACATGTTGTCCAGAAGAATGACTTCATGTCCGCGTCTATGAAGTTCAGAACCTAGTTGAGAACCAATAAAACCAGCACCTCCCGTAATCACAACTTTTCGTTTTGGACTTTCCGTATCACTTGACATTTTTTTTCCTATACTTTATTATCCAATGATACACAAAACTTTAGTATATTTAATGTGGGTGATAGTAAGTGGGTATGAGTAGTGTATTGTAATCCCACACCCATACTCTCAAGAGATTTTTGTATTCACACTCTTCCTCGCCTTAAACTTCTCGAGATATTTAAAGTGGTCAAGTAGTTTATTTCGTTTATGCTGATGCTGAAGCATAAGAATATGAAACTATTTTGTTCACTCGTATGTCTACCTGAAAGCTCTACTGTTTTGATAAATATTCGAATCACCCTTCGATCTTTACATCTATCTGTTGAAAGAAAAAGAAACAACACCACACTTGCAACTTACCGTCAAGTTATGGAATGATTTTCTTCACTTCTCATAAGAGTGAGAATAATTTTTTCGGTCAAAAAGAGTGTAAGAATGAGAGAAAAAAATATTCCTTCCAGTAATGATAATGTAAGAACAACGACAGACAAGTTTCTTTTTGGGAAAAAAATTATGAGGTAAGAAGAAATATTTTTTTTTCACGAAGCAGAAGGTAGGTATGAGAATAAAAAATATTCATTCTAGCAATGAGAATGTATGAACGATGATATATAACTTTTTTTTGGAGAAAAAGACGGAGGTAAGAAGAAATAAGTTTTTTTTTCAGGAAGAAGAATATAGTAATGAGAGCGAATTGTGTTCATAGAAAATGACTTGCATGTTTTTCTCATTTTCTTTGACTAAAAAAATAAGGTGTGAGTGATTCACTTCTAATGTATACCGGCATATGCATCCATAGTCACACATATTCACCTACATTCACACCTGCATTTATTCATACATATCCTTAAGAAAAAACTCGATTTCTTTTATAATATTCTTCGATATTTTTGATTAAATCAGAATAACGCTCGTCACTTCGATTCTTCTGACTCGTAACTAAATGATCAAGTATCTGATTTTTCTGTAACTACTAGCATAAATTTCTATCGTTGAGTCATAACAATGTGAGTAACCGCTCCATCTCTTTGTATAGAAGGTTCAATTAAGTCTCATTTTTTAAACTAAACATTGAGGTTTGATGTGATCAAGCGTCATCATTCTCATAAATACATATTTGTGGCAAAAGAGCTTCACATGATTTATTTCTGAAAAGATCAACAGAAGCTAAGTATTAAGAACTCTAAACCATTATACTGCCTTCGCATTGACCAGGTGGTCGTTTCTCGTAATAACGATTGCAAGTTTCGGGTTGCGGTGCAAAGAGAGTCAACACACAGCAACTGTAGTATGGAATAACATCGGCCACACCGTGTTTTGCTTGTTGTATGATGTTACCCAATGGAGTTTCTTTATCGACTGTACCAGCACCCAACCATGGATCTGAAATCCATTGACCAGACTTATCATAACATGCTTGTGCACCTGGTCCTGTACTCTTTAATGCATTTCGATAACAACAATAAGCACCAGCATGTAATGAACAAGTATTTGGCTGTTTCGCAGCATCACAAGAAGTATCTACCGACCAATCACCGGGTAGTGTTGAGGGAAACGTTGCTGGTACCTGACAGTATGGCTTCTTTGTCTTGGCTAGAAGTTTATTGGGATCGCCTTGTGTAGCATACCAGATCAAGCAGTCGACATAACCGCGACCAGCCATCAACTGCTCATTGGGATTCTCATCGATATTGCCCAATTCGAAACCAGCAACTGATAGCACAAGCAAGAGTGCAAGAAAAATATTCGTAATAGTATGCATTCGTTTTTTTGAATTATTTTGAATATCACTCTGTTCCTTTATATTCATACAACTATATATGTCTTATCTAAATAACACGTGTTATTTCAGTTAATAAATCACACTAATATGCTATATGCATCGTAGGCCGTTATGACAATAAAACATCTTCATCAGGTGCTTTAATTCCCAACGCTTAAATCTCGAATGAAATGCATCGAATTTTGCACTTAATCAGAATATATTTTGCTGCTTCTTTTTTTTCGAAATAAAATTAAAAGGCAGTTTTTTCAACGATGATGATGTGTGAGTTGAATAAAGACCAATTTACACCTTCAAAATGGTTTGAGTTTAGACATGAGTATAAAAATAATAAGGAACGGATGACGACGTCCTTTTAATATCTGCATTCTCATTCTCAAGATGGCATCGATATATGAATGTAGAAGTTGCTTTTAGACGAACATATTCGAAATTTTTGAACACAGGGCCTAAGTTATTCATTCAGAAAATTGCTGGTCGAAGTGTTCTTCGTTACGATATTTTCAGTAAGAACAGCTTGAATCATTGAATCTTTTTTTAATGGAAATTACACCAAAGTTCGTGTGCATTAAGTATGACATACGAATTACTTTTCGTCCTTGAAGAGCACTAAACTATTTATAATAACTGTTTTTTTTCTTTTCTTCTTATAGAGTGTGCTTCGTAATAATAGATTCGAAAAACATTAAAAACAGAAATATAAAAGAGTGAATCGAAAAGAAAAATTATATAATAAGTTAGGAAGATTAAATCGTCGCATTTTGCATTTCAGTTTTTTACAACCTTTTTTATTGTGTCATCTTGTTTTGAAGACAGTCGCATGTGAACATACAATTGTTTGTGTCAATACAAGAAAAGAGAAAGACATGTGTGTCACAATCATTTTTCATTTCTTTATATGAAAAAAGTAAACTGCGACACATCTACTCTTATTCAATACTTTTTTTCTTATTCTGTAAACCACAGATTTTTTTTAGTATTATTCAATTGAGAACAATGGCAATTATTCATGTTAAAGCTCGAACATCGCCTTATCCTGGCACCACTGATATTTCCGTAGGATTTTATTATACAAAAAATATATTTCATTATTCTCTTTGTATTAGAGAACACCAGTACCTGATGATAAAGTACCGTGGACTGTTAATTGGTCTGATTACAAGCCAAGAGAATATACGGAACAGTTTGTTTTGACAAAACCAGTCTGGGCTGATGATTCCGATGCGTAAGATCAATTGAATTCAAACTGAAATCTTCATCTTTAGTTTTTAAAGAAAAAAAATTAAACATTATAATGAAATTGATGAAAACATTGATCGAACGAGTTTCATGGATAAATATAAAGTTGAGAAAGAAACGAATCGACCAAAGAATCCTCAAGGTCGTACTGGATGTATGTTATTAATCAAAAACAAGATTTTGCAGGAATAAGAAGTAACATTAATTTGTTTTTAGTATCTGGTCGTGGTTTACTTGGTCGATGGGGACCAAATCATGCTGGTGATCCAATTGTTACACGTTGGGCTAAAACTGAACACAATGATAAAAAAAAAGTACTAGAAATTATACTTATCAATAGAAGAGATAGTGGAGAATTAGCTATACCAGGTGGAATGGTTAATGCAGGGTATTGATTTTTCTAATATTTACTTATTTGATGCCAATTTTCTTATTTAGTGAGCATGTATCAGCAGCAATCAAACGAGAATTTATTGAAGAAGCTATAAATTCTAATGCCGATGGTGCTAAACATGTTGATGAACTATTTAAAACAGCTGTTTCCGCAAATATACTTTTATCTCGGATTAAAACCATATTTTGTTGATTTGTAATAGATTTATAAAGGTTATGTTAATGATCCAAGAAATACGGGTAAACTTCTCCGCTTAAATCTTATTATTATATTCAGCATAAAATGACTATTTTTATCGCACTAGATAATGCTTGGATTGAAACTGAAGCTACCAATATGCATGATGAAACGGGTGAATTAACAAAAGATTTGAAACTAGAAGCTGGTAAATATATTTGTTCTAATGATTATTTTTACAATGTCGGTCTTTTGACTACAATTTGAAGTTTATATGAATTTCTACTACGTGTCAGTTTCGATAATTGTTAGACGAGCATTTTTTCATTGAGTATGATGCAACTAGATTCTAATCTCATATAATCAAAATAGAATTAATTTATTTGGGTATTTTCTCTAGGTGATGATGCGTCACACGTAAAATGGTATCGACTTGATCGTGATCATAATTGATATGCATCACACGAGAAAATGATTCAAATGGTTATTGAAAAACATGGAGCTTATGAATATTGGCATGATCATCCTAATTCGACCAAATCTACCCTGTGATGTAGTGACATTGCCATTGCACTTTTCCTATATATTCATATTCTTTCCTTTTCTTTTTCTATAAAATATTCTAATACGTCTTGAAGGTGTGGGTGTAAGAAAAAAATGAATACATTTAACATAAAAATTGGCTTTATTCGTTCATTTTACTTTGAGATGTGAGAGTAGGTATGAACATGGGTGAAGAGAAGACACTCACACTCCATTATGAAATGAATAAGTCGATGAGAATTCATTGTTTATCTTCAAGTAATTTCTGCGTGCTAATAATACGTTTGTGTAGACTTTCCATAAGTGAATCATTGCTCATTTGTTGATTATTTTCGAGTAATATCACTGCACGCTCATAGTTATCCACCGCTTGTACGTAGTTACCTAGCTCCCTTTGAACATCACCAATTGAGTCGTACAGAGGTACAAGATCAGCATGTTCAGGTGGTAAATAACTTAGACTAATCTCTAATGATTTTCGAAAGTGTTCAAGCGCTTTAGCATACTCTTTTCTGTATTTATAACTGGCAGCAAGACCATTGTGAACTCGACCAAGACGAGATGGCTGATTGAGAACAGAAGTATCACTGAGCAAGGCAAGATAGAACTTTTCGATACGTGGATATTCGTCCATAAGCTTAAGTAGCGTACCCATGTATGGCAAAGGATTGGCAAGTACATCATTGTTTTCTATGAGTTTCATAAGACGCATTAGCTGTTCATCATTGTCACTAACCAATGTCAGTTTTACGGTCCATAGTGCCGAGCAATCCATAGCTTGTGTGATAGATTGGATACGAAATACAGTACTTCTAGAAAAGCAAATTACGCCTTTTTTCGATTCATCATCGAGTAGAGTAAACGGACTTTTCGTACTATATACAGTTGGTTCGATGTGTATTTCAAAGATAATCGCTGTAAGTTCATGATGCATTATTCGACGGCGACGAACAAAGTCAAGAGCAACATCCTTATCAATGTTGGCCTCGAGAAAATTAGCAAAAGAAAGAAGACCACCACAATTACTTTTCAGTAATTTTTCAAATTCATCGTCTGACATCGTCTTACCACGATATACAATTGAAATATTTTGCATCTGTCCGAGAGTATTGTTATGTCGAATAGTTAATTGAGTCTGTACGTGTTTGAGAAAGAAGGAAATCTTGTAAATAATGTCAAATTCTTTCGTATATTCAGCTCGATTCAATATTCGCGAGATAAAACGTGACTGTGTTAACCACCAAAGGGCTTTTTGTGGACGATAGTTTTTTTCGAAATCATCAACGGCTTGCACTTGCTCATCGTTATATGCATAATTTGCTCGACAAAAAGCAATAAACTCATTTTTCGCCTCATTTTCGAATTTATATCGAATCAAATGTTCTTTTCTTAACATGAGAAACATAAATGATGCTTCTTGTTTAGTAGCATTTGAGAACGAGATCGTACGTTCGTCGGATAAGGAAACTGCATTGATAGCGACACAATCGAGTTCACATAATTCAATGTCATGTTGTAGTTGTTGACAGAGAAGTGTCGAATCTCGAAAGATATTTGTTTGCTCTTCCTTTTCAACTATTTTACGAGTAACTAAATCGAAAACGTAGATTTTTTCCAGCTGTGGTAGATGACGAACGTTTTCAACAAATCGATTAGTCGCTTCCGAAACGATAAGAAACAACTTTTCATCTTCAGTTTTTCTCATGAAAGCATGACACTCCTCGAAATCGGTAAAAATCTTCGTTGTATAAACAGTTTTCCATAACTGTGCTCTTACTTGAGCGATATCAGTCGAAGATCCATCGTTAACTAAGAGAATAACACAATTTTCCACGAAACGTCTCGGCGGAAGATCAGCTGACTTGAGTAATAAAACTTTTCGTCCATCGATTTGCTCACTGTTGGGCACGATGACAAGTAATTGACTGTTCGATGATGAGCAACCCATGGCGAGTACTAATCTAAAAACTTCATGTAACAAATTTTAGGCATTTTTCTTATTAGTTTTTAAAATTAACTATGCCTAGAAGTGCCATCATTCACCTTTTAAATCTATCACATGATAATGAGAAACCCACTCACTTAGAGGCTTTAAATAAGAACCCGTAGTGAGTGTCAAGGAAAAAAATGATCTCCTTTTTCTCAATGATGTTCATAAAGGAAGCTTTCACTAGATGCGCAAAAGCAATTAAAAAACATTATTTATTTTCATCCGCTTTATCAAAAATGCTGGAAATAAATGAACAACATATTTATTTATGCGTTCATGATTTTAAAAAATAACTCCTTCTTTTTTCTGAGTTACGAGAAAAGTGGATTTCAAATTTTTCTAACAGATTCAAGTTCAACAAAATATCCTTTTTGCGAACATCTATTTTTTGAATGTCTATTCTTGTAATATCTGTAAGGTAAAAACAAGATGAGATTATTAATTAGTCTAATAAAAACTATACTTGTTGACTGAATAGATCTTTTTTATAACACTAAGAAAACTTCATACACCGTATAATAGGCAAAAGACACTATAACACTTAGGTATATAAGTCCACCATAACTAACTCTCTCTCGTTCACTTCTTCTTATATGTATCCATTTTCCTTTCTTCTGTTATATAATATATCGCCTTAAAAAGAAATAGATAAGATTTGAACTAAAGAAACGCGAGAAGGATAACATAACACGTTATGAGAAATGTGTTGTACGAATTCACATTACCTATATCATATTTAACGGATGAGAACAACTCATGTCGTCGACTATTGCATTATCGTGTAATTATAGCCATTATTTTTCATTTTAATGCAAAAAAAACATTAAAATGGAAAATAATAGTAATAATGACACCATAATGTAACAACCGACTATATGAGAGACGGAAGGAAAGAGAAGACAAGGAAAGGAAACGGAAGAAGAAAGTAAGAAAGAAAAGAGGACACGTTATTATATGAACAAGAGATTAAAATCACTATCAGCATAATATTTATGTCACATTGATCCAGAATAAGTTTAAATGTAGAAATTAATACGTGCGAAAATACGTCTGTCTGTCTTTGAAGTTTTACAGATACGTTTACTTTTTTAAATATCACGAACAACATAATTCATTACGTGTTAATAGGAAGATCGTAATTAAGCTATTAAAGTTATAAATTCTCTCTTCTTTATTGTATATTACATGAAAAACTATATTTAAAGTCATTAAGATCTGATTTCAATTATTTATGAAGATGACATTAAGTTAAAATTCAAATGAAAAAATATAATGATAAACCTAATATGATATAAAGTGGTATTTTGATAGAGTGAAATTTCTAAAAATAAATTTAAACAAAATAAAACTTTTAATATTTAAAATATTTTATTTAACGATGTAAAAATTAGTCAAGTTTGTTTCTTTTTGAGTTATATCGCATGATGGTGAAACAAAAAGACGATGATACTGATAGAAGAATGAGTTATTAATATTCTTCTTCGCTTTCAATACCGATGTTATATTTCTTACTTTTATTTTTGTCGATGATTTGTGTAGTTGAGAGATTCACAATATATTGATTCCTTCATCCATCTCTTTTTGAACTAATCTTATTTTCAATAATAACTGCTGTTGTGTCATTTCAGATTTTTTTATTTCTTTATTTAGAATTGTTCTCTCGTGTTATTTTATTCTATTTTTCATTCCATTACAAAAAGATAAAATAGCCTATTCAGACAAAATCGGTAAGAAGACGCGTTTTTACGCATTTAAAAGCCCATATTTTCACGCGTTTTCTTGTTGTTCTTACCAAAAAGCGCGTTAATAACTCGTTAAAATGCGCATTTTTGAATGCATAAAAACGACATTTTTTAAGCTAGTCAGACAACCGTCAAAAGATGCTATTTTTATGCGTTGAAATGTGCACTTTGGAGGCGTAAAAGCTTGTTCTATATCGATTTTATCTGACTGGGTCAGCTTAAGGTAATTCAATAGTCGAATAGAATGTGGGTGTTATTGTGAATAATAATCAAGCATTTATAGTTAAACAAGAGAAGAATTGAAACAAGCGGAAGATAAAGAATCGATTTATTTATTTATTAATGATTTAATCAATAAACATGATCAATTCAGTGAAGCTTGGAATCCAATTCTGTTTAAAGCTAAACAAGGAATTAAAAGAAAAACTCAACAACCACAGATACGACAAGGAGTGTCCCGATGGGGATTGTTGGGTCCACAACGGTCCCCCAATCTTCGGAAATTTTGTCTTTTTTGATCGATAATTTATGAATATTTTGAAAAATTCTGAAGAATTAATAAAAACTTCGGAAAACTCCCAGAAAAAATTTCGAAAATGTTTGAATATTTATACAAAATTTTCTGGAAATTTCAAGGAAGTTATCAACGGCCCCGAAGTCTTTCGAACCTCGGAACACCTCTGTGAATACCGCTAAACTCTGAATATGATTGTAACCTATATTTAATAATCATATCATCCACATTGATACAATCAAGAAATAGAATCAGTATTTTCGTTATTAAACTATTTTCAATATATATGTCTTATACTGCTTTACATAATACTATGAGGCGTATAATATGGTTATAACATACAAACACTACTTAATACGAAAGGAATGAAAAAAAAGAGAATAAAATATTCAGGTATTAACGAAAAATAAACACTATCGTGTATATCCTTTGTTTTATTCGTATAATATGAAGTGAAAAGTCACATGGTGGTTAATGATGAAAAAGACAAAGATGCATTTGTTATTATAAGTAGACGGTTTTTATTTATACTAATTTGATAATATACAAGGTAAGGAATAAGCGAGATATATGAGTCATAGTAATGCAAAATCGATCGAAGAAACTATTATAATGTATCAGTCAGTATAACAGCATATACAATGTACGTATATCTTTATCGTAGAATAAGTAATTGTTCGTTAAGAGATTAGTAACCCATCACTTTAAACTGTTGAAAGTTAATGCATTATCAATGAAAGAACGGATATACAAAGAAACTTTCTAGTTTGGATATAAAACAAAAGTTCATTGAGTACAATTTTTTTGTCTGAATTGTTCTTATTTTATTGTCTTCGAGTGACCAATATCATTAATGAATTTCTGAATGAAATCTTAAGTAGGTAACATACTCCCTCTTTCTTTTCTATTTAGATAGTTTATAGAAACGCTATTGTTTTAAAATCAATGTTACGTCGAAAATTACTGGTTTTTGGCCCAATTATTTTTTTAATTGGTTTCCTCATAAACGTGTTGCTCCATATCAAATTATTGCAACCAACAGACCATCAAAAAAAAGAAATACATGTATCGATAAGACAAGCTTATGAAACATATTTAAAACTTACGTGTTCTCATATGTTGAATCATTCAGATATATTAAATAATAATAATATACCGATACACATTAAGATACCTAGCACGGTATCTCGACTTAGTGGCCTTTACAAGAACTATTCATATACAAACTGGAAAACGCATGCAGCAGTGAATCGTGTATTAACTCCCTGTCAACATATGATTGGAATGAATGTTGTTCGAGCCTTTTCTGCATTTTGCGAGCGTTATAACATTACATACTGGATGATTGGTGGGTCTTTGGTTGGGTCGGTGCGTCACTGGGATATCATTCCATGGGATAAAGATTTGGACTTTTTTGTACCTGAAAGAGACAAAGAACTTCTTGAACGTCAATTTCCGAGAGAGCAACACAAAGTGCCTATGTATATGCGACCGGGTAGTTTAAAACATGGACCAACAAAGATTTTTCCTGAATCAGAATCAAAAGTGAGCTGGCCTGATAAATTTTATCCGTTTATTGATATATTTTACTATTACGAGAATGAAACTCATCTTTGGAATCATTCGCTTTGTTGTCATCATCATATTAGAAAATCTGCTGTATTTCCATTAAGTATTCGACCACTTGACTCGCTTTGGCTTCCTGCTCCGCGAAGTCCATTCGGCTATTTTGAAGAGTTGGATCCACCTTTGTTTCCTCGTGTGGAAAGTGAATGTTATGTCAGAGGTTATGCACCATATACGACGAATATGATGTTTGAACAACCAATGGTAGTGATATGCAAAACTCTTTCTCGAGTATATCCATTTGTAGAGAGAAAAAAGAAAAATATAGAAAGTCTTATACTTGGCGAAAAAGTTTTACAAACGATGGCAACTTGACAAGTTATTTCAAGTGAAAATGGAAATGTTACGAAATAAGTTTTTGGTACTACAATAAATAGTTTGACTCAAAACTCATTTGACTCTTCGTTTGTTTTAATATGCTTATAAGAAATGTTTTAAAATAAAAGGTATATTTTGTTATTCAAGCGTTTTTTTAATTTATTGTATCGATTGTTAAGGGTGAGGGTGGGTTTGAATATTCTTTTCATTCCACACCCACACCCTATAATCGATTGACAAAATTGTGACTGTATTAAAAACATAAGTCTAAACTTAGCAAAACCAATAAAGGATCAACTTTAATTTATAGATGAGTTACGTTTTGCTACGTGTTCTCGTATAACACATAATGCATTAATAAAAAAATGATGTGAGTTTTTGCCAGTAGGCCATTTCTTTGTGTAGCAAATAGTGAAACGATCTTTTAAAGGATTAACAATGACGAGCACATGTCTTCAAGTAGAGAAAAAAGAAGAAAAAAAAGATCTGCATGAATACATTTGCTGTCGCACGTTTACAGTCTAAACTTATAATCCAAGGTAACATGAAATAAGTGTGTGTTTATTTCAATATGACTCTATAATATTATTTACAATCGTACGAACACCACGCAAATTTATCACACATACTCAAGATATTGCAGTAAACTTTGTTCATAATCATATACCTCTATTTATTTTTTGCATTGTACGAAAATCGTTATCAATTTCTTTATATTTTATTAATAATATAGAGTATATTTCTAACTTTATAACATACACAATTAAGTAATCAAACAAAAGTTAAATATGATTGATCAAATAAGAGCGATGCAGATAGAAAAATTCATTTAAATATAAAATTTTGTAATAAAAATCCATAGATTGTACGAAATCATTCTAAAGTTACTATTTGTGAAATTTATGATTCACTTGGATTTTTTTCACAAGATTATACATTTATAGTTGATTCTATTAAAAACTTCTTCATATAAAAATGTGTTTCACGAAACTGGCGTCATTTTTGACGATTGTGCTGCATTATTAAGCGCAGAAGTTCGTGGTGGTTGACTATACGGTAGTACTTGATTACTACCTGGTGGCTTATATCGATTTTCTTCTTGGGCCAAAGCCGCCATTTGCATTGCTGTAGGAACGTTATTTATTCTTCGTCTTTTCGCTTGTTTCTTTTTGCAAAAGACCGATAGTATTGTAATAATTACAATGCACACAACACTGCCCACTACAATACCTATAGTCGCAGCAGTCGACAGCGTACTGCCATTACTAGTACTAGTTGAATAAATTCTTGCTGAACATGTAGTAATAATAACAGTCGCTGTTAGAAATATGAAAATCACTTCCATTCTCAAGAAATATTTTTTATTTAAATAAAGTATGGTATAGAAAAAAAATCAGGTATTTATTATTGAGTGATGACGTCAATAGCGATGCACTCCTTCTCATATTTATTTAAACGAATTTGTATTTTTCTTCATTTTTTTTATGTACGTCATCATTTTATAATTCACATGGCAGTATAGAAATGAAATCTCCTTGCTTTCTACTTACGAAAAAAATCTCATTTGTCGTAGTTTTCAATAAAGTTAATCAAATCGACGTCATTTAGATTGTTCTGAATTTAATAATAAAAATTTGTGACATGATAAGAAATAATGAAATTAAGTTATTAATGATAATATTACTGAAGATAGAAAAGTCAGTATAATGCAGAACATAAGATAGACTAGACTTTGTATCATGATCATGAAAATGCTAACGTGATGTGCAACGAAATAAACAGAGTCGATATTTTATCGCATTGTTTCGTGACTTTATACAATGCAACTTCAAATAGGACTTGTACTACCGATAATCATTATAATTGGGCTAACCGTTGAATGCCAATTTTGTTTAATAAGCATTAATATCAGCATTGATGATTGTCATTTTTACAACCTCACTTATTTTATGTTTATTAGATGTGAATGTAAATTTTAATGTGGTAATATCTCAATCAGTTGTATTTGTTATTTTATATCATTCAATCAACAAAAATAAATACATAAATATAGCGAGTGTGATAGTAACATAATTATGACCAGAATATTTAAAAATGTATTTTCGTTTAGATGATTCTTTTCACAGATATGAATAACGTCCATTTTGTTTTGAACTATTCTTTGTTTAAAATATCATTAATAATCAAAGCAGAAGTGTTGGAAGAAAAATTTCTCTTCACTTTACTAATTTTATATACTTAATGGACAAGTAGTGCTTTTTTGTATCCTTTGAAAATTAAGAAGCGTACGATATAATCTTCCATTAAATAGTTATTCAATACTATTTCAACGCTTTGTCACGCAACTAGTATTATACAAACAATGGAAAGTTGTGTACTATAGCTTATGAGCATAGGACATATTCTACTGAAATTAGACTGCGATTGTAAATGTGCAAGTAAAGAAAAGATTCGCACCAATAATAATATGTTTATATTAAATAATATTATAATTAAAATACGCGACTACATCAAAATAATATAGAAAAATTAATTAACACATTATAAATGAGTAAAATATTAGCTGAATTTTATTCAGTTTACGGAAAGTGCTCATCTAATTCTCACACAAAAATGTTCTGATATTGATTACGTTTAATATTTTCATATCAAAATGAGTCTGAATTTGAATCTCCTTCTTATTTTTACAACACATCCTTCATCAATCATTATTAGTTTTACAATAACCACGAGTGGATGTGTACTTAGAGGAATAATAAAGCCCCAAGCCTTCATATCCAGGTATCCTGCTGAATTCTGTAATTTAATAATTGTGTCTCCTACTTTTACTGTTACTAAATTTTTGTCGTCCTTTCGTGCGTGAATGCATACTAAAGTGAATCAATTCTATTTCTGGACATTGTAATTTTAGCTTTCATGCTTTATACTAACTTTGTAATGCATCTATAGATTAATCAAAAACGAAAGAATGACTATTACTAATTGTCATGTTTTTATACAAATTGGAGTAGATCTATTCTAAAGAAAAACACATTCTTATCGAACACGCTAAGCTCGAGTTCCAAGTAGCAATTAAATCTGCATTCTGTGGCAATTTCTGATAGAAGTGTTAGTGCTAATGATATTATACTTTATTATATTTCTTCTTATCTTGAATTGTATCATTTTCATATAAAGCATGTATTTATAAGCTCGCCCATCAGAAAGAATGAAAAAACAAGATAAAAACGGATAATAAGAAAAAAGACAGAGAGCAATACATCAAATGAAAATAAGTAATCAGAAAGGGACAAACATAGCTACACTCATTCAAGTATTCTAAAATATCTATGCTTTGTTCGTAAAAATTGTGGTTATTTATGTTTTAAATTATTACGATGTGACTAAATCAAACAATTATATCCGACTCATTATTATAATTCTTTCATTTGAACGTTTTGCATTCAATAAAAAAGAAGCGTTTTTCAGATATATCAAAGTTATTCCCAAAGTAAAATGTCATCGTCGGACGGTTTTCTCACATCGCTAGAATCAGTAGAGAAAAACTTATTTCGTATCGGTGGTCCAATATTATTGGTTCTTGGTGTTGCTAGTTGTGTCATCAATATAATTGTTTTCACTCAAAAAAATCTACGAAAAAGTCCATGTTCGATCTATTTGATAGCAGTGAATGTCGCTAATTTCTTATACATTACTTTACCAGTATTATTCCTTGTGTTAACAATTGGCTATGGAATAAATCTTTTTGCATCTAATCTCTTCATGTGCCGTTGCCATTATTACACATCCTATGTATTGGATATTCTCAGCGCATCTTATCTTATCTTAGCTTCAATCGATCGAGTTTTAGTCACATCATCAAATGCTCGAACACGACAAAGAAGTACTCGTCGTTTGGCCTATATTTGTATCGGTTGTGGAACATTATTTTGGATGTTGTTTCATTGCCATATATTATTCCTGGTAGATATAGAAGAAATAGCACCAGGTTATTTTACGTGTTATTATCGAGCAGGTCTATACAATGCTCTCGTGGGTTATTATTCATTAGTCATCAAAGGAACGACAGTGCCCTTGTTGATGATTATTTTTTGTATATGTACAGCGAAAAACATTCGAAAAGTGCGTCAACGACGTATTGCTCCTGTGATTACGAACACTGGAAATACAATAGGAAACTCTGAACGTTCCTTTCACTCCAAAGATCGACAATTTGTTTTGATAGTAGTTGTAGATATTTGTATTTACACAGCATGTAATGCAATGCTGGTAGTTGTTATTATATATTACCAGATCACACAAAATATCGACTTCACACAGACCAGTAGGTTTCTAAATATAGTAGGATCGTTTCTTAGTTATATTTCATTTTGTGTCGGTTGTTACGCATATTTATTTATATCAAAAACATTTCGAAAAGAAGTGAAACGTTTATTTTTTTGTCAATAAGTTAGATGTTTTCTTTTTTTTGTTTTTGTTAAGTCTGTATATTTCTTTGTTGTCTAAAATAAAAATTGAAGTTATTCATAAAGATTATATCTATCTTTATATGGAAATGCTTCACGATTTGAAGAATAATTAATATGTAAAGGATGAGATATCAGGATGTAATAAATATGAACAATTATTGATCCTCAACCTGCACCTGAATATTATGATAGTGAACAAATTACTATTGAAACTTTGTATTGATGATGTTTAGTAATGATATCTCGAATAAATTAAAATTATTTGTGTATGATTCTTTTTTCTTATTTATTTTATTAAAAAGTAGTTTTCCTATAAATAATACAATCGAGTTTAAATATTATTAGTCTTGAAGATGTAGATGCCATATTCATTTTACATTCACATCCGCAAGATGAGGTGGATGTGATTATTTTATATTAGAAGCAGTAGACATCAAAGAGTAATCAGCTAACGGAGACCATCGATGAATTTTACTTCGCCAAGTAATATTATTATGAATGGGTGCACGTTGAGGATTGACGGACGAA